AAGAAATGAAGATGGCAATCACAAAACTGCAAGGTGAACAACATGCCATAGCTCATGAAGTACAGCCAAAGCAGTACTCACAGGAAAATTTATAGTCTTGTAAGTTATTTTCTAAATTCAAGGTTATAACTCACAAAACTGGGGGGAGGACAGCCAAATAAACACAAAGGCAAAAATACATAAAAATTTCCATAAAATCTATAATTTAAAAAATTAAAAATTACAAACTATATTAAGCTGATCAAACAAAACCAACAACCAATTCTTTGAAATGCCTGATAAGCTGAAACTCTATGAAAAATGAAAAGACTTAAATAGTCATTGCATATAGTAAGTTCTAATTAGTTTAGTCTCCTAAATGAGATTAAAAATGAAGAAATTACTCCTAAAAAGGAAAGCTGGCTGGTCTTGGTGGTCTCTGCCTTTAAAAATTGCAACACTCGGGAGGGAGGCAGAGAGAGACAGCTCTGTGAGCTTGAAGCCAGCCAGGGCTACATAGTAACTTCTAGGCCAGCCAGGGCTTCACAGTGAGACCCTCTCTCAAAAGAGACAGCTGGATGTGGTGGTGCACACATGCAGTCTTGGCAGGATGAATACTACCGATCCAAAACCTGCCTGGGCTACATATGTAAACCCTGTCTCAAAATACAAAAGGAAAAAGTGTTAACCTAAATATAGGATAGTTTGCTAGAAAACTTTAATAATGCCTGCAGAATGATCATAATGCATAGTCAGTCATTTAATATTCACAACTGCTCTCTGAAGTAGATTTTTACCATTTCTATACACTTTGGAGAAACTTGAAGCTTAGATAGGTAACTTGCTCTATGTCTCATTATCTAATAAGTAGCTGAAATAGGACTTCCTGCTTTAGAGTCCATACATTTCTATTATAATACATCTCAAAGGAAAAAACAATCAAAATACAAAATTATAACTATAAAACAGACTGATAGATAATATTCTTTGAGCAAATGACTATCTTTAAAGGGCAATTTAGCTATAGTTTCAAGGAAGAGATAATTCTCAATTTTTGAAATCAGTACTAGAACACAAAAAGAGACAGGGGCTGTCTGACCCTGAAGGAGGCTGAGGGCACAGCTGGGGGGCAGAGACCCTGCCTGACATGCACAAAGTTCTCGGTTCAATATGAAGCAACAAAAAACAAACCCAAAAGGCAGGCAATAAGTGTTTTGGATTAGAAGATTCGATATTATAAAGATGCCAGATTTCCCAAAACTAATCTATAGCTTTAATGTAACCTAAACAAAATTTCCCTGGTTTTGTTAAACTGAAATTGACAAGCTCATCATTTTAGAAGTCGTACGGGACAGTGAGTCAAGAACAGCCAAAGGCATAATGAGGAGAACCGTATAACACAAACGGGGAGGGGAGGGGAGAAGGAAAAACTTGCCGAGTGGTAGCATCGCACATGACTGTAATCCACTTAGGGGGCAGAGGCAGGAGGATCACAAGTTTTTCAGTAAAGCCTGTCTTGCATAGTAAGTCTTTTAAAAAGGGTAGGGAGATGCCATATGCCTTCAACCCGAGCATTCAAGGAGGCAAAGACACCAACCAGCTCTGTGGGTCTGAACCAGACTGGTCTACATAGTGAGTTCCAGGCCAGCCAGGGATACACAGACTCAGTAAAATAGAATAGCACTTTGATTTATAGCAAAAACAACACATTTTAATGGGGGAAGGGATGATGCCAGGCCAACAAGATATCCATATGGGGAAACAAAATAGCACATCAATTGCAAAGGGTCGAATAAAACTTTTTAGAGAAAACATCTTTGTGATTTTTAGAGTGTGCAGTATTTGCTTGGAGCATTAACCATAAAATAAAATAAAAAAAGAGATTAAGTGGAGCTTAATGAATTTAGGAGGTTCTGATCTTCGAAAGAAACCAGTTTGAATGCAGAGGCTGCCAGTGAGATGGCTCGGTGGGCAAAGGTAGCTACTGCCAAGTCTGAGGGCCTGAGTTTGAAATCGAGGGCCTACATGGTGGAAGCAGAGAATCAATTCTTGCAAGCTGTCTTCTGACTTCCATGTGTGCACATATACACACACAGAAATGTAACAGAATTTTATTTTAAAAAACGGCAGGAGCCACATACAGCCTAAGGGATGTGACATAGATATACTATTAAGGACTTGTAGCATGTATGTATGTATGTATGTATGTATGTATGTATGTATGTGTATATGTATTCACATATATGTTTGTGTATAAATATATATGAAATTATATACATATATGTATATAATTTCTTTATTCAAGAAGAGAACCAATGGAAAACTCACACGGGCATTAAAGATACCATTAAGCATCTTAAGTTCCATACAGAAATACAGAACTGAAAACCACAGAAGTACCACTGCCCATAAACGAGACTGATATAGAGACTGAAAGAATGCTGGTAAGGATGTGGCCCAGTGAGACCGCTTACACACTGCTGACAGGAGTTTTGACAATTGCTACAGAATGATGTTTGACATTATCTGTGGTAAGATAAATACTGTTGGTAACTCTTGTGGGGAATCTCGATTACACCTTCTTCTGGTCTGGTGCATAGAGAAAATGCCCATACACATAAAATATTAAAACATAAAAGAAATGTGTTGCTGAATACAAGAAAATAAAAGAGAATTCAAGTAAATCAACTTCTCAGAAGCTAGGCTGAGGGTTGCAGCATGCTTACTAAGCATGGACAAACCTTGGGTTCAATCCTTATCACCTAAATTGTAAATAAATAAATACATTTTTAAATGGCTGACAAACCTATAAATGTAAATCTAAGCAACATAATGCTATCATTGTGGGGCATGATGGGATACACCTATAATCCCAGGCACTCAGGAGGCTGAAATGAGAGAATGGGAAGTTCAAGACCAGATTGGATTATAAAACCATTCGCCCACAAAAAAGTGGGGGGGGGGTCAAGATTAATGACAAATTTAAATGTAACTAAAAATATATTCAAAACTGTGGTTTTCCTTTGTTTGCTTGTTTTAAGACTTATTTATTATGTGCAGTGTTCTGTGTGCATGTACACCTCCACGCCAGAAGAGGGCACCAGATCTCATTACAGATGGTTGTGAGCCACCATGTGGTTGCTGGGAATTGAACTCAGGACCTCTGAAAGAGCAGATAGTGCTCTTAACATCTGAGCCATCTCTCCAGCCCCAACTCTGTGGTGTGTAACATGTTAAAAATGATTTTAAAAGATCATACATAGTAATATATTTGAATAGAAAGAAAACTTCAGAGAACTTTCTTTTTTGCTTTATAACATGTTTTGTTTAAAGCCAGGGTCTCTCATATCCCAGGCTAGTCTCCAACTCACCCAGAAGCTGCCAACTTTGAAGTTCCTACAAAGCTCCTACAGCCACCTTTTGAGAGCTGGAATTACAGGCACGTGTACACCACCCTATCGGGGTCTATGTGGTGCTGGGTATTGAACCAAGAGACCTGCATTGGAGGAAAGCACTATACCCACAGAACTCATGCTCAGCCCAATAAAACGCCACAAAAAAAACAAAACAAAAACAACAACAAAAAAAAAAACCAAAAAACAAAAAAACGTTATTATGTCCAGAAATCAAAAAAAAAATTTTTTTTCATTCACCGGTTTTCGTCTTCCTTTTATCTCCCCACATTTCACTCTGTACTCTGTAACCATTCTTTCAATTTTATATTAAAAATGACAGCCCAAGTCACTATTTCCTTTTGTTCTCTCTATTGAGAGAATTCCTCATACCTAGACCCTTCGTCATAGCAAAATAGTCATGCATCCCACTTAGATAGCATAGCCACTACCCTATCTACACCCCGCCCCTGTCCCTAAAACTGAGCATTAAATACTGTCACCCCACCTCAATCCTTGGCATACACAAAAGTGTATGTGATGTGCATTTCCTGTAGTCCATTTTCTGCCACCCATCTTTCTAATTTGATTCATAGTTGAAGATTTATGTAGGGTGTCATTTGCTGGGTGCAGTTTTTGTTTTGTTTTTGTTTTTTTTTTTTTTTTTTCTTTTTAAATGCTGAGGCCAGGCAACGGTTTCCAAATGAACCTTCCACTGACAGTACATATATCAACATTTCACGTTCTGTACCATACCCCACTCTCCCACTGCACAGCACGGGGAATTTCTTTTCTTTTTCTTGTCTTAATTCCCTAAAATCTAGTTGGCACAGGGAGTGTAGTGCACATATATCCAGTACATGCACTCACATTCCAAGGTGTGGGTTTTCACCTGCCTGATTGGGAAAAAAAATGGCATTTAAAAACACTAGACTTTATTTTTTTTTTTTTCAAGATGGCAGAGACATCCTAAAATAGTCCTACACAAAAGCATTCACACCCAGCCCAGAGAGCTTCCACTCGGAACTGGCTACACCTAGCGCAACAGCAAGGACAAAAGAATGGGACCCAGGTGCTGAGATGCCAGAGCCCTCACCGTGGGCCACAGGTCTCACACTTAACAGATCATAAACGCAGACAGAAAGCTGGCACCTGCTGCCTGCATTCCAGAGGCCACGCCTTGCTGGTGATCAGAGTGATGGTACCCGGGGGCACTCCCGGGTACAGACCCGCAAGAACCAGGGCTAAAAGGGAGCAGGTTAAGTAGTACAGTGAGTACCCGCACGTTTCGGCCCCGCCCCAGCGGGGCGCAGCCCGGGGCGGCGCAGCCATCGGGTAAGGATCGAGCAGGGCTCCCCCACCCCACCCCCCAGGGCCGGACAACTGTGCCAGGTCTGGGGATTCTGGTTGAGCCTGGGGCAGAGGCCAGCCACGACAGGACCCGGCGGGCTACACCTGTCAGGCGGCTGCAGCCCGCAGGCCCCGCAACGGCGAGGGACCGGTGACCCAGGCCCGCGTCTGGGCGCGCGTCACCCGATCCCTCCCCTCTGAATCGCTGTGCCTCCTCGCTTTTCCTCTGGTCCTTTTTGGACAAAAGACGGTCCACACTCCCCGCCATTTCGTCCTCACCTCAAACACCACCTCTTCGTCAAACTCCGGTGTCATCCTTCTCCGCCATACCACCCGCCTCAGCACGATGGGAAATGAAGGAAGGAGGGCAGGCGGCACCCAGGCTTCTGCTCCTGCCCACCCTCGGGGGTGGGGGGGGAGGTGCACTGAAAACTACAGCTCCCGGCATGCTCTGCGGCGCACGCCCCCTTCCGATGTGCTTATTGGAGCAGAGGGTGAGCGTGTGGGCTGGAGGGGCGGGAGCGGGCGGGCGTTGCCGAGCTCCTATTGGAGAGAGCTATGGCTTTTGTCTGCCTTTTACAGCCCCGGACTACCAGGGGGCGCCCGGAGCGCGGATTTTTCTCCGGGCTTGAGGAGGGGCGCGCGTCCGCCGAGCAGCTCCGCTCGGGCGCGCGCCTGGCGATCGTCGCGCGGCGCGGCGGAGTGGCGCTCGTGCTCGTCCCCCCCTGTCGCTGGCCGCGGGCGCCCGGGGACGCCGCTGGGTCGCGGCCGCCGGCATCGGTCCTTTGTGAGGCGCTCGCTCGGGCGGCTCTGCTCGGGTGCGGGACGGAATGTGCGCGCTTCCCCTGCAGACTCTGGGGAGCGTGGACTGAGCGGGAGCCATGGACTGAGGGCGTGAGCCGCGCGGGGCAGTCATGACTTCTGCCGCGGGTGAGTGAGGCGCTGCGCTCGCGCCGCGCTGGGAAGTTGCTGCGGGCGCCGGCCGGCTCGGGCTCCCGCGGGGGTCCGGAGCCCGGGTGGCCGGTGCGGGGCTGGCGCAGGCCGCTCGCCTGCCGCGGGGGTCCGGAGCCCGGGTGCAGCGGAGGCGACGCGGCGCTGGCTCCCGTGCTCTGGCGACGTCGCCTGTGCGCGGTGTGGGGAGCGCCGAGTCGGTTGCGGAGGAGCCAGTTATTCTAAACTAGGACACTTTTCCAGAGTTGAACTAAGTCAGCTCCTAGCCTGGCTTGCTTTAAAACCTAGTCGTTATTGATCGAGACTCTTCGCACTAGTAAGGAGGTTTAAACAGAGCTGGCCATACCCTGGTGTTTTTAGTCCTGTTACCTGAGTAGTAAATTGCACTACTAGATGGCAAAAAAAAAAAAAAAAAAAGAAAGAAAGAAAGACAAAAAACCAGGATCCCCAACCAGCTACCCCCAAACAAATAACCCCCCCCTTCGTATCTTCACCTTTTCTTAACTCCCCCTCCCCAGTCACACCTCAACAGTGTAAACAAAGCCTGATGTTCTTTCTTTTTTCCTGCCTCCCTTCCACTCTCCCAAATGACAGAAAGCCTCTGCTTACCTTTGTGTCAATGTACGCACTTCTGGTCATTGTATAAGAAACATCCTTAAGGGACAATCTTTATTTTCCAAATTTAAGTGCCCAAGTGACGTTATGGTACCTTTCCAAGAACATAGCTAATTTTTAAAACCAGAATTTAATAAGGTATGGAATATTTTTTCTTTTAAATCTTTATCCACATTTGAAGAAACTTCGATGAGAAATTTTATAGTAAAATAGTTTAAAGCTTCAGTTCAGTTACGTCTAGAATAAGCACGTAAGTATCAGATTAAATTTTCTGCTTTCTTTGGCGTTTGTTTAAAATTCCTGCAACTTGAAACTGTCAAAGAGCACACGAAATGGTTCTCTGATTTGTATTTCTAAAGCCGTGGAAGAGTCATACTGCTAGAAATCATCAAATTACATAAAACAAGCCACAAGAAAGCAAGGGGCTGAAAGGGAGGGTAGAGAATGTAGATCTTCTCTCTTTGATGTTAATGTGTATTCATTCACGTGATCATCGTGCACTATTAGAGTCATTTACAAACGTTTCTCCTTTTTTCTAAATTAGAGAGGTGTTCCATTTTTTTACACAGTCGATTGTTTTCAGCCTAGCTTCCCATTCCTCACCTTCATCCAAGTTATTAAAATTACTGAATTAATATAATTGATTTAAATTAAAATAAAACTTAAAAGTTAATTAAAATTTCTAGGACCCAGTCTGGAAGTTTATGCACGTTCTGTTCGAATTACACTGGGATAAGGCAAGCTATTTTTATACTTATCAACTTTACAATTAAGGAAATCCACAGCATTTTTGTGGTATTTAAAAGAGACACTTCCTGTGTCTAGCTGAGTTACTTGATTTTTTTTTTTTAAGCATGACTTGCTGAGAAACATTAACTACTTTTTTGCTCAACCATCTGATGAGATTTATTAAATAAGTTTTTCTTATGTGTAGGGGATGTTGAAGAAGACTGAGGATATTCTTTCCATCTCTTTCTGATAAAATTACATATACATTGTCCTCACAAGCCATGTAGGTCAGAACAGTGAAATTTATTCAAACTTTGGAGAGAGTTACTCATGGAGTAGGTAGTGTTTTAGTCTATTCCAGTGGATTTGGGAGGTTGACCTAATTTAAGATTAGGGGCTGTTGCACAACGTTGGAGTGATAGGTACCCTGAAGATGGACTTGCTGTGTTTTTTCTGCAGCTGTTGAAGAGTGAGCTCATAGAGATTTTGGAAGTATTCTAAGTAGCATATGATTATTATAAGTATTGTCTATCTATCATCTATCATTGGATGGATGTCTATGCATCTCCCTACTTCATTAATTTAATGCCTGTGCTTTTTTGCTTTGGAGTTTGTGGAATGGCCAAGAGAGTAAGTGTGCATGCGTGAGCCAAGGCCACCTGTGTGCGACAGATGACGAGTCTGTTTATAACAGTAAAATAGTACTGGTGCTTTACTTTTCTACCTTAGATTTCACTGCAGCCAAACAGCTGTGTAAATAAAAGATTTGCTGCATTGCTCCAAAGCAGCATTTGGGTCTGATTGATTGTTAATACACAGTGTCAAGATCCAGAGGTGCAGGATTCATTTCCAAACATTGCGTACTGATTTCAAGGTCTGACATTGGGTTAGATCATAATATAATGTCCTTCCTGTTAGTGTTGTTTTTAGCCATGTTCCTTTCAGAGTAGAGCCATTAAAAATAATGAGGGCCACTGAGGTGGCTCAGTGCATTAGGCTCTTGCTGTCAAGCCTGAGTTTGATCCCTGGGACCCACATAATGAAATGGGAGCATCGAGTCTTTCAAGTTGTCGTCTAACACATGTGTGCAATGGAAGGCACACCTTCCCCCCGACCCCCAGCAATGAAATACAAATGAAACTAACATGGTGTTACACCTGTATAATCCCAGTACTGGAGAGGGTGAACCCGGAAGACTGCAGTTGAGGGTTATCCGGGGCTACATTCCAAAGCCTATCTTCAAAAACTGAAAATAAATAACACTAAGGAAAGATTATTGTATATTGCTGTACCAGTGACTTGGCAACCACTTGTTCCTATTAGTCATGAAGGAATTACACACTAAGCCTATTGAAGTTCATCCTGCTCCCTTTTCAAAACATCGTTCTATAAAAGATTTATTTTAAAAGTGTGTGTGTATGTGTGTGTGTGTGTGTGTGTGTGTGTGTGTGTGTGTGTGTGGTGGGCAGAGGGTTGTGGGTGTGGGGACACAGGTACCAGCAGAGTTCAAAAGACTTGTTGGATTCCCCTAGAACTGGACTTGCAGTCAGCTGTAGGACACCCCCCCCCACTCTCCATCCCCCATCTCGACCCTAGTCACATGGGCACTGAGCTCAAACAGTATATGACATATTTTATTAACCACTATTAACCATTGAGCCATCGCTAGCCTTCAGAACACTATTTGATGTTAAATTCGATGTTGGCTTTAAAAATAAATTTTCTGTCACCGAAGACATATTAAATGGCCTATATGTGGCAGCTGTGTATTCTCAGGTCCCTTGTCGGCACTGGGGACACAGTGAATAAGACTGTGAATAAGCTGGACTCTGAGTTACATCATTGACTTCTTCCACTTGACTGCACAGGTAACAATAGTAAACCCGGGTTCACAATTAGTTAGTGAGTATGCTCGCATTTCAGGCTTTAGACTATAACTCGGTGCTGTTTCCTGAGGGTCAGCCTTGACTCACATGCACTTAAACTGGCTTTCTGTGACATTAAGCGAGAAGAGGAATTTGCCTCCTAGAAGCAGACTTGAAGGAAGGACTGGAGTTGGAACTAGAGATTCTGATTTAGGGAGGGTGAAGCAATAGGGCGGAAGGGAGGGCTAAAATCGGTACTAGAGAGCAATGAAAGCTTTAGGGAGTCTGAACCAAGAGTTTGAAGTCAGCTTGGGGATGCAGGGCAAGACAATAGCAACAAAATAAGTGGCAACACAGTGTTCGCAGTGAAAGGCAAAATGGCTCCATTAAATGACCTTGAACCTTCTGACTAAACTCAGAAGTAAAAAAAAGATCACAAAGTAAAAGATTAATGAGATGAGAGTTCTTCCTTCCTGTTTCTTCCTGCCTATTACCTCTCTTCTTCCTCCCTCCCTCCTCCCTCCCTTATTTATTTTCAATTAATTAATTAATTAATTAATTAATTAATTAATTAATTAGGGCTTTTTGAGACAGTATTTCTCTGTAGCTCTGGCCATCCTGGAACTTTCTCTATAGACCAGGCTGGCTTTGAATTCAGGGAATAAAGGCATGCACCACAACTGCTTGGCTAAAATGTCACTTTTTAGAAACATAAATCTCTGGAAATGTATTACTGTTATTGTGTGTGTGTGTGTGTGTGTGTGTGTTGATTGGTATGTGGGGGTGTGTAAAGTGTGCATGTGAAGATTAGAGAACTGATTTGTGGAGACAGTTTTCCTCCACCTTTCCATGTGTTCTGGGAATTGAATTCAGGTCTCCAGCATTGTGTGGCAAGTACCTTTATCCGGTGAGCCATCTGGCTGGCCTGAATTTTTTTTTTTTTTCCATTGTGGTAAGATAGACCATCTTAACCTCTTGTTTTTTTGTGACAGGATCTTATTATATAGCTCAGGCTAGCCTCAAACTCCCAGTAACCTCCTAAGTAGCTAGCACTGGGGAGGGGGGTAGGCAAGCACTACTACGCCCAGCTGTCTTAACTATTTTTAAGTGTGCAGTTGAGAAATGTTAAGAACATTGTAGTGCTGCTCTCCAGAACTCATTTTGTCTTGTAAAAACTCATATATTTAATTTTTTAAAAAACAATCCCAGAGCTAGAACGTTTTAAGCGTGACAGAAATGAAGTCATCGTGACAGACTGTCAGTTTTTATTCAATGAGAAGGGAGCCTGGGACATGTCCTCGGGCAGTCCCGACTTCCCTTAAGGTTTGACTTGATGGATGGGGAATTTAATTTAATAAACTGTTTCAGCATTGTCAAAAGCCACAATGACCAAACCTCAGGCTAACAATGTGTGTATTGAACAGCTAACTGAAAATTGCCTGCTTTGGAAACCTATACTATTTTGAAAACTCATTGCCTTTTTTTATGATAACCTTATGCCTAGAAGTGAGTTTGATAAGGTATTTGTTATATAATCTTGGCTGTGCATATAATACTGGAGTTTTAGAAATCCCTTTTTGCTTAGGAAGGGGAAAATAGAGTGTTCTTCTTTTTTTTTTTTTTTTTTTTTTTTTTTCCCTTTTACTCAGCTCCATGTAATATTTTTCTGGGCATTATGACTAATTTCCTTTGTTGAAAAGAAAATGCAAACGAAATATGAAAGCTTCTCTGTGTGCAAGAAAATGAAACAATTGTCGACAGTCCTGCGCAGCATACACTGTTTTATAAATAAGCTTTTAAAAAATTAAGTATTAGGTCTTGTTGAAGAAGCTACTTTAAGAAGTATAAGATTAAACGTGTTTGAAGTCTAGGCCCCTCGGGGGAACATGATTGACAAGTAGAAGATGCTAAAGGAACTTAAAAGAAATATAATGTCTTTGTATAATTTTTAGATTCCTTAGGGTCTTTAAAAAAATGATTCGTTTTGTTCTGTTTATATGTGTTTCTGTTTGATTATGTGGTCATATTTGAGTGTCGGCGCGGGTAGAGGCCAGAGGAGGGTGTCACATCCCTTCGAGCTGGAGTTACAGGTTGTTGTGAATGTATTGATGTGGGCGCTGGAACCAAACCCTGCCTCTCATGATTGAATTAAAAGCACTCTTAGCCACAGAATCATCTTCTTGAGCTCGCTTATTGTGGTCGTCCTCTGTGCTGTTGTCAAGTTCATGTAGGCCAAGAGCAGGCCTGCACAAATGCAGCATTGTATAATAGGAGTTGATGAAGTACTTGACATGTAACGGTGAGGAAGAGTCGCCGTACCAAAACTTGTGGTCATCCTTTAATGCTGGGCTTTCTGGTGCAGCCGTGATCCCAGCACCCAGGACACTGCAGCAGAAGGATGTGAGTCTGAGACCCACCTGGCTTACATAATGAGAGCCCTTGCTCAGAGAAACAACACGCAAACGCGTAGATCTTACTGGTGAAGGGTAAATGACATAGTCATCCATGGGAAATGAAAAGAATACAAATGTACAGGTTGTATGTTCAGATACTCTCCAATTGTTTGATCTGGAGCCAGGCGTGGGCATATGACGAAGCTCTAGGAAGAAATACCATGGGATTTCCAGTTGGTCCTTGGACAGAGAAATACCAGCCTCATTATGAACCTCAATTAATACCAAAGAATTCACTTTCAGGTTTTTTTTTTTTGGAGGGGGGTAGAAAATGTCTGGTTAATTTTTCAGAGTGTTTTGGGGGTTCTGTCAGGTAGACATTTTTTTATAACGGGTCATTACACAGATCTTGTCTGTATCACTGAACTGTGTGTGCTGCTGTAATCTCAGCGTTAGAAAGGCATTGAGCATGGCTGTAGACCAGCCCAAGCTGTGTTGTAGATACCAAGCCAGAGAAGGCTGCATGGCAAGACCTGGTTACAGAAAACAAATAAAAACAGGAAAACGTTATATGTTCTTATATCCTCTTGTGTTTAATTATTATACTTTCCTTTCTAGAGCTTAAGAAGCCACCATTGGCTCCCAAGCCAAAGTTAAAAGGGACAAATAACAAGCCGCTGCCCCCTCCCATTGCACCTAAACCGGACATCGTGAATGCTAGTGTTCCACAGTTAACAAAGAAAACCAAGCCGACAATTGCACCAAAACCAAAAGCCCTGACAAACTCAGTTGTTCAAGACCTCAAGCAGCCATCCTCGAAGAAGCTCCCTTTGAACCTAGAGGAACAGGAGCCAGAATTGCCTGAAAGCACGGACAAGTTTAATTGCAAAGATGTCGGGGGTCCACATAGTGATTATATTTTACCAACATGTTCCTGCAGTTCTGGGTGTACTCAAGAGCCTGGGAATAGAGAAAGTCTATGTGCAAAGCAACTTATTTTAAAGCCTCTGGGAATGAAAGACAATGTAGAGAATAATAAAAACGGTGAGTCCTCTTCAACTGCAGAGAGGGGGAATAGGTGGGATTCCCGTGGTGAAAAGGGCAGGAGCCAAAGTGGAGTTATTTTAAAGGCAAGCATCTTAGAAGAGAAGCTCAAAGAGGTTTTAACGCGACAGCAGTCACCTTGTGGTTCCCCCAGGAAGCACAGATCTCCAAACAAGACAGCAATGAATGGCGACTATAGTTGTAGCAGACAGATGAGAATTGAGTTTGCAGATGTGTCCCCTTCCCGATCCAGCTTTGAAAAAGTTCCTGCTCATCATAGCTGTCACCCTCAGCTCCCTAGGGATGAATCTCAAAATCTTGAGATTTGTCACGCTGGCAACTCTAAGAGCAACAGTCACTTTCATTCACGTGAACTAGATGACAGGAACTTGTCTTCAGACGGAACTAATAAGAAGACAGAGGTCACAGATCTTGGCCCTTTAGAAATTCACTTATTACCCTGTACCTCAAAGTTTCCAACTCCCAAGCCCAGAAGGACACATGCTGCTCGTCTGCTTCGCCAGAAGTGTGTAGATACTCCTAGCAAAAGTGCTGAAGAGCCAGAGAATTCAAACAGTGGCTCTTCTTGTCTCCTCGAAGATAGTTCGAAAAACAATCAAGTCAGTGTTCTTCATGAGAAGGTTTCGTGTAACCAGGGACAAGAGGACAAAGTGAAGCCAGCAAATAAAAGGACAGTGACTAGTGATTCCAAGAGTGACAGACAAGATTCAGTCAACTCACAGAAAGCTGAGTGTCATGAAACGTCTTCCTCTGAGAAAGCAGCACCTATTTTAGATGCAGACTCTATTTTGAGTCCTGACAGGGCAGCAGAAGATGGCTCTGGGATGTTACCTGCTGTGGACAAAGGAACTGGTTTTATACAATGCAGTACTCAGTCTGAGAGCTTGCCTAAGCAAGTCAAATTATCCTGCACTGAACACTCGCCAACTACCTGTAACATGGAATTGTCTGTTCCTCAAATGCAAAAGGAACCTTCCTCTAAAATTGTTCCCAAAAAACCTCAAAGACACAGCTTGCCTGCTGCAGGTGTGCTTAAGAAGGCTGCTTCTGAGGAACTTGTAGAAAAAAATTCTTGTTCTTCAAGCAAAGCAACAAATTCAGAGAAAGGCTTAGAGAGAAACCACCTTCAGCATTTGGGTCCCTTAAACCGTGGTATATCATCAACATCTTTTGATATACCTAACTCAACTTCAGAAAAGCCAGTGTGGAAATTACCTCATCCTATTTTACCTTTTTCAGGGAGCCCAGAATCCTTGAAGCGTGTCACTTTATCCTTAAATAATGAGCCATCTATTTCCCTCACTAAGCCAAGAGCAAAATCATTACCTGCTGTGGATATGGACAGGTGTAATAAACCTTGCAAAGAACCTCCAAAGAAAACTTCTTTTAAAAAGTTGATTAATGTGAAACTGTCCATTGGTTTCATAAAGAGTGACTTTCAGAAATTTAGGTCGAAAAGTTGTCAGCATGCGGATGTCACAACTGGACATCTGCTCAGCAGAGAGCCGAAAGGGATTGAAAGTGATTGGCAGGGTTTAGTGAAAGCCGAAGAAAAGAGGAGTAAACCCATCAAGGCATATTCTGCAGAAAACTGCAGCCTGGAGTCTGAAAAGGTGAAATCCTGGGGCCAGAGCAGTGCAGCTAATAATGGTCAGAGAGCTGAGTCTTTGGACGACCAGCTACTCTCCAGGGACTCTTCCTGCCAGGTGTCTTACAAGTCTAGTACAATTGGCTGTGTCCCAGAGTATGAAAATGTACGCCATTACGAGGAGATCCCAGAGTATGAAAATTTACCCTTTGTTATGGCTGGTGGGAAAACTCCAGAGTTGGGATGGCAGAATTCCAGCAGTGTGGAGGACATTGATGCAAATCTGTATGAAGTAGAAGAGCCCTATGATGCTCCAGATGGCCAGCTGCAACTTGATCCTAGACAGCAGCCTTCCAGGTAATACGTAGGTGTCAGCTAGACCTGCACTTTTGTGTGCATCGTTGTAATTAGTCTTCAACAACTCTGTGATACAGACTGCAGAGGAAAATCACTTATTGGGGAACTGATTGGGAAAGTGTAGATGGAAGCAGTTCTGTGTTCAGACTTTTTTTGTCGTACAGTTGGACTGGGTATTTGCATGGCAAGCTTATGGGTAGCCAGTCCAAAGACTTTAAATAGAAGCAGTGTAGCTACTACATGGATGGCCTAGACAGTCCCAGGACTCCCATGCACCAACGTAGAACCTTTGGCAGACAATTGGTTAATTCAGAGAGGTTTTTGGAATTAGGAAATCCATGATTTACATAAGGTGCCATTGTTGGAATACCCTACAGCTACCCTTCTTGCCACTCTTCAAGCATTAGTTTACTTGCTGACCTCAGGCAATTACAGGGAAATTCAGGAAACAGTTGTCTTCCTCCTTTTGCATGTGAACAGTCTATTCCATCTCTCTTGGATTTTACTCATCTTCAGTGGCTCAGCTTATCAGTCCTGGCTTGATGGAGTGGTGGCAGTAAGTATTTTCTTCCTCCTCTGAACTCCCTGTTACCCAGTGCTGTCCCTGAACGTTGTATCTCAGTCTTACTGATGGCACATTGATCGCTTATTGATGCATCTGATGCTCTGTGTTTAGTTTTTTTTTTTTTTTTTGAAGTATTTGCTAATCTTTGACAATTTTATACATACTATGTATAAAATTCACTCCTGTTACTTTCCCTTATCTGTCTCGAGTCCCACTGACCCCTTTCTTCTTCCCAAGAAGCCTCCCCCCCCCCATTTTCATGTCCCTTTCATTCGTGCGGACCTGGTTTTCGTATGGCCTATTCAATGTAATTACTGTTGCTTGAATGGGTGTGAGTGAACAGGAAGTTGTTTACTGGAGCATAGACACCTTAACAGTGGAGAGGGTACACGCTGAAGAAAGTGGCATTCAGTTTTAAGTGTCCTGAAGGGCTCTGGTTCTCTCTTTTTATTCTCTATACGGGCAAGCAAGGAGCCTAGTGGGCTCTTTAGGTGTGGATTGGCATAGGCAATGAGTGGGGGCAGAGGAAGTAAACCCCATCTTCTTTCTCTGTCTGTGGTTGCACAGGTAGCCTTTGCATTGCATTTGCAGGGTTTCTTTTGTATTTTGAAGTCTTTAGAATACCCTCAGGTTGCAAACAGGGTCGTTGAGAACTCAAGTCTTAAAATATGACTTGTAGAAACATACTGAGCACAGAGTAGGACTCTGAAGGAGGGGGTGGGAAGTAGTGGGTGAGTCAAGTAGATAAAATTGTCAAGCAAATTGGAACACCAAGTAAAGCAGATAGTTTTTGAGTTATGTTAATTTTTTAATTTTCAGATACTCTCAGAGTGTAAGGGTTTTTTTGTTTTGTTTTTTTAATCATCATCTTTATCATCTTTACCTTTTCTCTTTTTACCAGTAAAAGGGTCCTTAATTCTCAGGCCTATTTTTTCTCTCACAGCTGATGCCAATTTGTTTCTATGTCTACTCCTAATTGTAGGCAAAAACCTCTTCCTTAGTGTAAATTTTTCGACAGACTTGGCATCCAACTATTTGAAGAATTTGTTTTCGTATGTGTGATATTCTACCCATGAAACACCTTTATTGGTATTTTTACCATGCTATTGCATGTTACTTATGCATGAGTATGTGTGAACATGTGTGTGGTGAGTTTGGTTTGTTTCTTCAGATACACTGCTGTCCTTAGCTGCGATAACTTTTTCTTGCAATGGGAGGTGGCTTGACACTTGGGATTTGTTCCCTGTTGGATTTCAGGCCTGAGGCTTTACCACTATCTCTGATGTGGGTTCTTCACTTGTGGGACCTGTTTGTCTGGTCTGCTGTTGGCTGGAGGGAAAGCAGTTTGGAGGGGCCAATGTAGATGGTCAGCCAGTAATAGCTCTGGTCAGGGTTCTTTCTGGAGACTACAGGAAGCCAAGGGTGGTACTGCATGGGCTGCAAGCTGTCAAGGACAGCCTGGTGAAGGGCGGGCGGGCGACTTCTGCTTTTGAAGTTCATGTTCCGCAGAGAGTTTTTGTTTAAGCTATGAACAGGGAGCACTTGATGGACCTTGAGAAAGCCAAAGCTTTCAGCCATAGAGCCAGACTCAGGCCTAAGAGCTTTTTCCTGTTGTGAACAGTTGACTAGTCAGAGAAAGCAAAATGCAAGCCTTCCGTGAGGAGGACCCTGCAAAATGAAATGAGGCAAACGAGAGACTGAGAGCTAAGGAGATTCAAGTGGAAACCCTGAAGGAATGTCTGTTTGCTGAAAATGTAGACCCGTGCCTTGGAATAATTAATTCAAAATGCAGGATCCTGGCTGGGCATGTAGTTTAGCAGTCTAGTGCTTATTTGCCTAGCATGTTCAGGGTTTTCTCTGAGAGTCATCAGGAAAGTGTTAAACAGTGTCTTGGGCCTCAGGGAAGGGAATCCGGGTCTTCTCTAGGGCTCTGGGTTAGAGTGTCACTAGCATTGGATTCTGGATATTTAAGCAACCAGATTTCTGGAAAATTAAATCTATTTGGTTCATCCAGAGGAATCCCAATGGTTACATTTTTTAAAACATAGATATTTCATAAATCTGAATATTTGCAAGTCTATAATAACCTATTTGTCATTTATCAGGAAATATTTAAATGGTAGGTTGTCCCAAATTCTGATTAGAGTTATATAGTCTTTGAGACTATTAACAACTATTAACAACAATTGTAACTCATTGTTTTTCCGGAAGAATGGTATTGGCAATAGAGTTTTTAATCCCGTTCTCAAACTAAGAGTTACCCTCTGCTCCAGGTGAACTTATTTTTTTTTTTTTAAATGTTTATTTGGCTGTTTGAGACAGGGTTTGTCTGACTAGCCCTGGCTGTCCTGGAATTCCCTTTGTAGACCAGACTGGCCTCGAACTCACAGAGATCCGCCTGCCTCTGCCTCGCTAGTGCTGGGATCAAAGGTGTGCTCTACCACCGCCTGGCGCGGGTGAACGTTGCTGACCTTTCTGTGTGATCCTATGAGGTGTAAGCTGTGACTGGGGCTGGAGCGTTGACCAGGGTGGGATTGAACACCCATTATCTCAGGAATCGCTGGTGACCCTGTAGGCCTAGTGGTGGAGTGACTGATGAAGAATGAGGAAATTAGGGGGCAGGGCTGAGTTTGCCGTGGGGGATGTTGTTAGAGCACCACGAGTCATAAGGAGGGAAGGGTGGGGTGGCTGGTCAGTGAGCAAGGGATTTCTTTACTTCCTCTTTCCTAATGTCTATCCCTTCTCTTTTCCCTACCACCTTCCTCCGAAAACGGCGCCTTTCTGAGCACAGGCGGGAGTGAGTAGTAACTAGAGAGAAGGGAAGAGGGCAGGGAGGCACTGGGAAGCCCCAGAGTAGGAAGGATGGTGAAGAGATGAGTATGGAGGTGAAGGAGCGAGGAGAGGACTTCTCCTGGATGCAGGAGAGTAAGCCACGCGTGCTACCATTTGCCCACTGCTTTTGTGTCTTACGTGTAATTTCATCGGAAGTAGGATGTATGAGTCACTCTAGAATGTTCTAGCATTTGGGGCAGTTGTTTTGTTTGTTTGTTTGTTTGTTTGTTTGAGACAGGATTTTTAGTCCAAGATAGCCTAGAACTCTTTATAGCACAGGCTGGCCTCAAACTTGCCCCCTTCCTGTCAAAGCACCTCCCTACCTGTGGAGTGCTGGGATGCTAGGGTTATAGGCGTGGCTCACCACTCAGGTCTGTAGTAAAACCTCTGCCCAAAGTGTTTCAGACATCACAGCCCTGAAATGGTTAACAGGTGACATACATCTCTGTGCCTCTGGGTGTACGGATGGTGAGTTTTCAGCTCCTGCTTTTGTTTAGGGAGCTTGATTTCATATAGAAGTTTGTACAGCTTAGGCCATTGATGTCACCCAACCATAGAATGATCTGCAAAGTAATGACAATCAGAGTTCTTGATTCTGAGAAGAAAACTTTACCTGGAGACATTCCATATTTTTCTTGTGATCTTTTGGTTTGTTTCTATAGGCACTTAAAAAAAATACTGGCAGTTGGATTTTCCTAAGTAATCTAATAAGGCCCCCGGTTACTTTTCAAATGGATGGATATTAAGCGTATTTCAATCAGCGTCTAATGGGGTAATGAGGATCACCTTGGGCTGGGGTGCAGCTCAGGGATGTAGTACTTGCCTTGTGTACTTGAGATGTTAGGTTCCGTCTTTAGTACAATAGAAACAGGCAGCCTGACAGATGTGGGTGGCACATGAGCCAGCGTGGTTTTTTTTTTTAAGTAGACAGGCTCAGACGTGGCTTTTAGGAGCCGGTGGGTTTTGTTTTTATAGCCGTAGAAAGGGCTTGTCAGTGGGACTTGAGAGGGAGAGGTGGCAGACTGAATCGCAAGTAGGGTTAGAAATGTGTGTGGTTTCTTCAGAACTACCCAGAAGTTTGCATTTACACTTTGCTCTTCCAGAAAACGCATTAAAAGTAAACTAAATAGATTTAAGAATAATTTGGAGAGATGGCTCAGCGGTTTAAGAGCACCAGCTGTCCTTCTAGAGAACCCAGATTCAGTTTCCACATGGCAGCTCACAACTGTCTGTATGTAAATCCAGTTCCAGGAGATCTGGCACCCTTACACAGACATAAATTCTGACAAAACAACAATGCACATAAAAAGTAATTATCTGTTAAAAAGAATAATTTCTTTTTCATTAATGTATATAACTTCATTCCTGATGAAGACTCAAAACTATTTTTGGTTGGTTGTTTCTGTCCATGTTAAACATGGGACTGGGCTTAATAGGCTGCCCGGTAGCTTTGTAGGGTATCTGCAGTAAATGGGCAGACCTGGCCCAGCAGACGGCTGATCATGTGTACCATCTGCCAGCATTGTTGAATTTTAATAATGTGATTAAATAATACATGAATAAATGATAAATTAATTGGACTAATGAGCAATTTCTATGTTGT